TCAACGAGGCCTGGAGCTCCCAGCTGCAACTGCTGCTATTGCAGCAGCAGTAGAGGCCAGAGCCATGGGCCTTTTAAAATTGCTGCCAGAACTTCACATCGTGCACTGGCTGGCCCCAACCCCACCTCTTCTGCACTTGGCCCTGCCCCTTCCGGGAGTACAGAGCTGAACCACTCCCCTCCCCCACACAGACACACACTCCTTGCCAGGGATCCAGGGAGGCTGTCCATGTTTCTGCACAGAGCTGAAAGTATCCCTGCATTCCCCTTTGTGAAAGTAGCGCAGTTGTTAGCTGGCCTGCAATGAGGGATGCAAGGGGAGGAGACCTATTGTGTATGCACAGGACTAGCTATAATCTCTTTTTTGTGTCTTCAAAGACTTCAGTGCAACCATCACCTCAGCTGCTTCTGCCCAAGCTGGAATATCTGCTGTGTACGTGAAATCTTTGAAGTTGATGCGGCTTCAGTCTGAAGCTGCTTTAAAATGACAAGCCAAAAGGAGGGGAGGAAAGTTTCTATTCTACTTACAGCTAAGTTTGGACTCAAATTTGACAGTAAAGTATTTAAAGCACCAGTTTGTCTTTCCAAAGAGGCTTCAGATGTGGCTGTGTTAACATCAAAGGCTTTTTGCACACTGCAGAACATCGTGACTTGGGCTGAAGCTTAAAAGCTGACAGCTTGAGTGACGCTCAGGGTGCTAAAAAATATTTTACAATCTCCGTTGCTTTTGTATTCATCAGCTGAATTAGATTTACAGGGTGGGAGGGGGGCATTTAAACAGTCAATATATTTGTGCAAAGGACTTTTTGAAAAACTAAGCACAGTATCTGCACTCCTCCAAAATTGTTTAAAACAGTTATACAAGATAGTTGGGGGGGGTGGGGTGTTGGATGTGTGTGTAAACCACAGCTTGGTAAGTGGTACAGCAAATTAAAGTATTGCTTTATTGTGTGATATTTACACCTATTCAGAGTTTCCAAACTCAGAAGGGACCATTGTGATAATCTGTTATGACCTCCTCCACAACACACACCAGAGAACTTCTCCCAAAATAATTACTTAAGCATCTTTTTTTAGAAAAATATCCTCTCTTGATTAAAAAATTGTCAGTGAGGGAGAATCTACCATGACCGTTGGAAAATTGTTCCAGTGGCTAATTACCCTCACTATCAAAAATGTATGCCTTGTGGCCAGTGTTCCCTGTAAGCTGAGAACTTGGACAGCCACCCAGGAGAGATTCAAATGTTGCCCAGCTGATTAGCAGAGCTCCGACAGCCAGCAGCCTGTGTTTCTACTAGTTGTGCATGTCCACACATGCCTCAGTGCACAGAACAAAACTTGTTCTGCCCATGGATGGAAAAAAATTGAAGGGAACATGGTTTATGTCCGTTCTGAATTTGTCTAGCTTCAATTTCCTGACACTGGATTGTATTGTAGAACCCATTGGTACATATTTATTCCCTAGGTAGATACTTATAAATTACAATCAAGTCACCACTTAGGCTTCTCTTTGTTAAACTGATGAGCTCTGTTTAGACTGTTTTCTAATTCTTTAATCATTTTTGTGGCTCTTCTCTGAACCATCTCCAATTAGCTCCTTGAACTGCTGACACCAGAACTGGACATTGCATTCCAGCCCTAGTCATGCTAATGTCAAAAACGGAGGTAAAGTAATCTCTCTAGTCATACTCGAGATGCCTCTGTTTATGCATCCCAGGATCACATTAGCTCTTATGCCTGCAGCATCACATTGGGAGCTCCTATGCAGCTGTTTATCCACCACAACCCAAAAAGTCTCTCTCAGAGTCATTACTTCCTAAGAGAGAGTCCCCTATTTGCAAGTATAGCCTACTTTCTTTGTTCCTACATACCTCTATTTACATTTAGCCACATTAAAATGCATATTGCTTGCTCCCAAGCAATCCAGATCTCTCTGAATCAGACCTGCCCTCTTCGTTGTTTGTCACTCCCCCAATTTTGTGTCATCTGCAAACTTTTATCATTGAGGATTATATGGCTTCTTCCTGATCATTTATATATATAAAAAAAAGTTAAATAGCATAGGGAACCCTCTGGAAGGACAGCCACTTGATGATGTTTTTCTATTTACACTTATTCTGTGAGACTTATCAGTTAGCTCATTTTTATTCCACTTAATATGTGCCATGATAGTTTTATATTGTTCTAGTTTTTAATCAAAATGATGTGAGGTACCAAACCAAATGCCTTATAGAAGTCGGAGAAAATTATGTCAACACTATTACTTACAGTAATCTAATCAGAAAAAGATACTAACTGGCTACGTCTAGATTGCATCCCTTTTTCGTAAAAGGGATGCAAATTAGATGTATCGCAATTGCTAATGAAGCGGGGATTTAAATCTCCCCCGCTTCATTAGCATAAAAATGGCTGCCGCTTTTTTTCGGCATGGAGCTTTGCCGGAAAAAAGCGCCAGTCTAGATGCGTATCTTTCGGAAAATAAAGCCTTTTCCAAAAGATTCCTTATCCCTCTTAAAATAAGGGATAAGGGATCTTTCGGAAAAGGCTTTATTTTCCGAAAGATCTGCATCTGGACTGGCGCTTTTTTCCGGCAAAGCTCCGTGCCGAAAAAAAGCGGCAGCCATTTTTATGCTAAGGAAGCGGGGGAGATTTAAATCCCCGCTTTATTACCAATTGCGATACGTCTAATTTGCATCCCTTTTACGAAAAAGGGATGCAATCTAGACGTAGTCAGTTAGTTTCACAGGATCGGTTTTCCATAAAACCATGTTGATTTGCATTAATTACATTACTGTCCTTAGGGGTTTTTTTAAATCAAGTCCCATATCAACTGCTCCCGTTATCTTGCCTGGGATTGATATCAGGGTTAATAGGATCTAATTACCCACATCATCCTGTTTTAAGAATGGTCTGTTAGATTTCTTACAGTTTTCTGGAACTTCCTCACTGCTGGAAGACTTGCTGAAAAATACCGTTAATGGCAAACTGAGCTGCTGAGCCAGCTCTGTTAAAACTCTGGCATATAAGTTGTCTGAACTTACTGATTTTAAAATGTCTAACGTTAACAGTTTCTGTTGAATACCCTGGAGAGTTAGATATTAGTGAAATGGAAAGATTGTTAATATGTTTTTTCTCTGAATGCCAAACAGAAATATACCTAAGTGATCATTAATTTTTAGTTTTATGATAAGTTTTTCTTTGTTTAATAGGACAGATCTAATAAAGAATTCCTGTGTCGGCTGCAGCACTTTTTGAGTTAGGGAATTGCCATCTATAATGATTAGAAATTGCAAGGATGTGTTAGTTCTGGCAGCATATGTCATTCACATTGAAGTCCACCATGAGCACACAGCTATTTTTCCTAAACATTATAGATAGGGGCGTTAGAAAGCAGTCATCCTGTTCTCTAGTGTGATTTGATGGGGTGTAGCAGACATCAACTAATATCTAGTCTTGTGCTTTATCTGTTAGGACACTCATCCAGAAGCATTCAAGATCATTTCCTTCCAAGTTATCAGTGACTCAGAAATAAGTAATAGCATTTTTGACATAGAATGTCATTCCTCCCTTTTTGTCCATTCATTTCTCCTTAAATAGGTTATAAACATTGATTTTTACATTCCAATGGTGCAAACCATCCCACTAGGTTTCAATAATTTTTTCAGTAAATTTTATGAGAATTTATTCTCCTAAACAAGCAATTCCAGTTTCTCTTATTTGTAACCCAGGCCTCTTAGCACTGGTGTGTAGGCAATTCAAGAATTTCTCGAATGTCAGATGCTGAAGATAGCTGGTCACTCATTGTGCCCCTGAGACAAAGTGGATAGTTCCCAATCATTTGTTATCGCCTGAGCAAATCTATTTCCTTCTACTCTAATCCCTGCCACCATGGCCATGTTGAGTCCTGAACACAGCAGAACTGGTGCATTGCTACAATATTAGGAGTCATGGTACAAGGAACCCACTCAGAACTCTTGAATCTTCTTGTATGCTGCAAAGCACAGCAGCATGGGAGAGA